ATAACTTTTGTTCCAGGTCTTTTGGTGAAAAAATGTAAAACAATAGGGCAGTCATGACAAATTCACATGTGATGTATGTCTGAGAGAAGTAAGTAATGAATCACTCGAGTTAATATGAGAAATGTCATGATATCATAAATGTACTCACAAATACTGTACGCCACATCACTTACATGGCCATGTTGTAAAACTTTCAGCTTATATCCACCAAATTTATGCAGATGGATTCTGTTCAATTAGAAATTATGCACAGAAATAAATCGCTACATAACACAACTGTTAACCAATGGTTCTTCCTAGTCTCATCTCACAAAGTGAAATTCATGATGGAAAGTAGGTCCTATAAGTTCTTATACTGTATCAAGTATGAAAGTTGTTAAGTAGTGATACATATTTCATAATTTTGTACATGAATGAACTGCACCGAGCATAGGTCACTTCCTTCTTAATTTCAGAAAGAGTACATGTGATAAAAATATTGCTTAAATGGAATATGCCAGTTGATTTGTTGAACAGTTCAGTGATTTTCTGTGCTTAAGGGGAAAAATATGACAAAGCATTTTCACATCACTGAACCATTCAAAGTGTTGCATCCTCTTATGACCCAAAACAAAATCAAATGACTATAATGTGAACAGAACAACCATAAGCACAAGCATCAACATTGTAACACTACAGAAAATTTGACTAAAGACACTGAAACTGCCCATTTTGTTCATACAGTATTTGAATTAAAAAGAGTGAAATTATAGTAGCACTTATCCTGAGTCCCACTCTTCAGTACATGAGATGACTGAACACATCTCTTAATAGTTGAAGAACATGTACCCAAACACAATCAACCTTCAACATATGAATGTTAGATATATCTAACAGCAAGTAACACTCTGATGTGGGATGTGGCCAAATGTTAGATTTATCTAACGCAGCACACACGTGTGTGCTCTCTTTGGGAGTGCTGACAGTTTGATCTTCGGGTTGAAAACACAACAAACCCATGGAAGGTCAAGTCAGTGGTTCAGTCATTAGGTCTGAACAATGAAATTGATTATCACGGTACTGAGTTCGATATTATTTATGTTTAGATATGACTGTTTATGACCGGGTCAGTCAAATAGAGGCCCAGTCAGTGGTGTTTAATGGGGGAGGCCAAGTTCATCTGGCGCCCAACTGAGTCGACTAGTGGTGAAACATTCACAATACTGGCCATCCAAAGGGAAACAAAGACATTGTAGTGTGTGTTCGCTAAATAAGAAAACCAGGAGCACCCTCTTCTATTGTAAAAATTGTGATGTTGATCTGTGTGTCAAGGACTGCTTCGACCAGTGGCACATGCGCGTCAGAGTGTGAGCACTGAATGGAGTTATAATAAACTGTGAAGTGACGCAGTTCATACTCACATACAGTCTGAGCACAGGATTATTGTAGAGAGTGTGATTATTTTTTACAAAATCAATATATCTGAAGTTTCAAGAAAAAACTATGGGTAATTCCTTTGGAATTTCATAATATAATGTGACGTGGATGGCGCAACAGGCAGTAGGGGTCATGTGAACTCTGCATTTCCGTGAGTGACATCACATACTCCCACTCCTTCCACCATTACGCAACGCTCAGTAAATACCCCTCCCCGCTACACTGTGATGTCACGCAACAGGTGACCCTGTGCAGCTACTGTTGCTAGGCAATCGGTAAACACGGTGATTACACAACAAGGAAGCAAGATGCATTGTCTGCTGTCTGGCTGAAGGTTTATAAGAGACACTGGAATGCCTAAGCAGTGCAGCTGAAGTCTAGCATTCGTGAAAGTAGTTGAAATATAGCAGCAGTCGCAGAAAGAAGAATGGAACGCGTGTTGTACTGAAGATAGTGTGAAGAGATCTGTGAGTAGGGTTTGTAAAGTGTGTAAACCTGTCACAGTGTCATAAGTATTTGTAGTCACGACTTCTAGGTTGTTAAATAAACCAATTAACAATCCGAACTGCGTCTTCAGTGGCAAAACATGTTACAATATATATAATAAAGATGATATTTTGCATTTCATGACAAAATAATCACAGCATATTTTCATTTGTAAAAATTGCTCTTTTATGTATATGCAGAAAATTTTATTGTTTTTCAGGCTGTTTTTAGTTTGTATTTTGTTACTGCATAGAATGAAAAATATGTATTTTTTTCTGATAGTCTGCAACTTTAAAGACTTAGGGCATTTTAAATTCTGGTCACAGCAGGCTCTTGACAATTTGAAAGTCTGTATTTTAAGGGTTAAAGCAAAAGAATAATAGATCCTCATTCATGTACAAATACTGCTAAGAAAAGTGCTCCGTAAGTTCTTCGTTCATCATGTGATAGCTACATCTTATCAACAAATTAGCAAGACACTTAATTCTAGTAACTGTAATACTAAATTTGACAGTATAAGAAACATACTCAATTTCAACATCCAGTTTCTTCTCTCCAGTCTCTTCATCTGGTTCCTTCTTCTCATTTGTCTTCTGCTTTGACAAATCTTGTTGGTAATTCTTTGCACGCTTCTTCCTCTTCTTTTTACGTTTGTTCTTGCTTTGTCTTTGTTCTTGCACTGGTTGCTGGGTGGATTTTTGTTTTCTTCTAGGTTGATGGTCTTCATCTTCATCCTCCACTTCATCCACAAGACCACTTCGACTTATAACAGGAGCAGGTGGAGCTTCTGGAACATTCTCTGGAAAAGGATAAATAAAATACACACTGCTCCACTGCTCTCTTATACAGGCCAATCAACCATAGAGGAAACCTGTTGACAGGGCTGATCGGGCACAACATTCCTCATAGATTGCTGCTGTAACTGCTGATAGCAGAATGAGTCATTTGTGCTTAAACGATTGCACTCTCACTAGCATAGAGTGGATGGAATGTTTCTCCACAACTATTCCCTCACATCAGTTTCTGTACATGAACACATTTATATGAATTCTGTAAAAAAGATAACACAAACTTACCTTGCTTTGTAACAGGTGCTGAGAGTGACACCTTCTGCTTGCAAACATGCCCTGCATCGCATAAATAAATTACACAATACAGGGTTATTCAAAAAGAATGAACCGATTTTATTACGCAATATTTTATTAAAGGAAAGTAATACAAAACTCCAGCCAAGTCACAAGTATTCTACTCACAATCAACTTTTATTTCCTGTCTTACAAGTGTTCAATGTGGCCACCACCTGCAGCACGGGCAACATCAATGCGATAAGAGAATTCCTCCCAGGCGCGTATCAGCATATCACGATGCACTGAGTTAATCGCTGTTGCTATTCGATGTTTGAGGTCATCGAGGTTAGTGGGTAGCGGTGGAACATAAACGTGATCTTTTACATATCCCCACAAGAAGAAATCACACACGGTGAGGCCTGGGGATCTCACAGGCCAAGCACAAAGAGCAAGGCCTTTGGCACCCTTCCGACCAATTCATCGCTGGGGCACTTTTTCATTTAAAAAAAGCTCGAACCATCAGGTGCCAATGGGACGGTGCTCCATCTTGTTGAAAAATTAAGTCATGCGAATCTGCTTGCAGTGAAGTGAAGAGCCAGTTTTGGAGCATATCGAAATAGGTTTGTCCTGTAATGGTGTTTCCTTCAAAGAAAAAGGGACCATAAACCTCGTCCTGAGGCACAGCACAGAAGATGTTCACCTTAGGGGAATCTCTTTCGTGCTCAACTGTTTCATGTGTGTGCTCTGGTCCCCAAATACGCACATTGTGACGATTGACTGTGCTGCTCAAGTGAAAAGTCGCTTCATCACTAAAAATTAAACGTGAAATGAAGGTTTCGTCTTCCATCATCTCCAGTATCGAATCGCAAAATTCCATCCGCTTTCTTTTGTCGTCATTGGTAAGTGCCTGAACGAGCTGCAGTCTGTATGGGTTCAAATGTAGACGTACTATTAGCACATTCCAGACAGTGGATTGAGGGATCGCAAGCTCACGGATAGCTCGATTTGTTGACTTCGGCGGGCTCCTCTCAAAAGCAGCACGGATTCTCGCCACTTGTTCCTCCGAGCCTCGTGGTCGTCCTGGACTTTTTCCTTTACACAGACACCCACTCTCTTGAAACTGTCGAAATCACCGTCGAATGTTCTTAGGACAGGGCGGATTAATGCCGAATCGCCTTCGAAAAGCACGCTGTACCATGACAACCGAATTTGTTTTCGCGAACTCGAGAACGCAGAACGCCTTTTGCTGAGGACTCGCCATTCCGAGGGTAAACGAACAACTGAACCTTGCCGGAAGAATGACGCGACTTCAGTGCCCCTGTGGTAGCCATTCAAAACTTTGATAACTCCTCTTTCAAATGGTCACTGACTCATTCCATGACGATGCTTGAGAACTGAAGCAAAGCGTCATGAAATTGGTTCATTCTTTTTTAATAACCCTGTACTTTCTGAAGTTGGTCCACCATAATTGAACCAATTACGTGTGTTATTTCATTCTGCAGAGACTCAGAAGTGTGAGGATTGTTCTTCTAGACTTTTCCCTTTAGGTTTCCCCAAAGATAAAAATTGCAAAACCTGAGATGTGGGGATCTGGGAGGCGACAGTCCTCTGCTGAGTATTCTACCTTCAAACACTTCCCATTTTGCAACCATGGTTGCATTAGCCGTATGTGCTGTAGCGTTGTCTTGCTGAAAATACCTGTATTGTCCTTCTTCAGCAGTCAGCTGATTGAAGAACGGATTCAGTATATCATTAATGTGGCGGTCAGAGTTCACGGTTTTGTGGAAAAATAAGGGGCCAATGATTTGATCCACTGCGGACTTACAGCAGACCCCCCCCCCCTTTCACTATGTAATGGCACTTGCTCTATTGTGTGACGATTTTCATCGCTCTGTATTCTTACATTTTGTGCATTGACATTACCACTAACACGAAACCATGCTTCATCAGTCATGAACAGCTGTGGATCCATGATTCCATCGTGCACATCTTGCAGCAGCCAGTAGCAAAAACGAATTCTTGCTGCATAATCTGGTTGTTTCAGCTAATGCACAACTGCTATTTTATATGGGTGAAATCTGATTAATTTTGTGGCTGTGAAAGCAGATCCTAGCGAAACACTGGCTTCCTGTGCTAAGCGTCTTAACGATATTCGAGGATTGATCTGTAGTCGTGCCTCAATATCCCGAACTTTTTCTTCAATCAGCACAATCCTCTTCAATTGCTTCTTTATGTCACACACTGAACATGTGGCCCACCACTTTTCACAAGCTTGGATACATAAGACTTTGTGGGAACTGGCAAATAAGGATATTTATGACAAATTTTCGGATACATTTTCTGTAAGCTTTTTTCCTTGCAAAAGCTTTGACAATAAACATATGCTGTTTAATAGTGAACTTTTTTTCAGTGTAAACATCGACCGCCTATCGATATCTCTAACGCAGACTATTTATGTGACTTAACTGCAGTGGCAATGGCCGCGCCATAGCTCAAGTGGTTAGTCACTGGCTTCCCACCATGGTGGCCCGGGTTTGATCCCGGGGTCTGGTCAAGTGCGATTTGTGGTGGACAAAGTGACACTGGGCAGGTTTTCTCCGAGTACTTCGGTTTCCCGTCAATCTTCACTCCACCAATTGCTCCACAATCACCCTCACCTACCATCTAGTGCTGGTATAATAGGCCGCAAGTGGTCGCGGTACAATGAACTTAGTCACCGCCCCCATTAGCAATAAAAAAAATAACTGCAGTGGCAAGATCACGCCAACCGCCGACGGAGCATGTTTATCAGCGCTAATGACTCACTCTGCTACTGGCAGTTACAGCAGCAATCAGTGAGGAATGTTGTGCCCAGTTAACGCTGTAGCCAAGTTTCCTTGATGACTGAATGCAGTGTATATCAGTATTCACACAGGTAAAATAGAAAATGATGAAATGGATAATACTAACAAAAATTTTTAAGTAATTTAATTTGTATGCTCCATATTAGCAAAATACAAAGAGAAGGCCCAGTTGAAAAGAAATTCATGTTAAGAGAATTCCAGTGGCCAAGCCATGAAATGCCTACAAACTGTTCATGAAGGAAACAGCCACTACAGTTATAATTAAAACTGAAGTAAGCATTTGTACAGACTCAGGGTTGACAGAACATAAATTCCAAATACTTGAAAATAAATGATAAATGCTAAAATATATTGGGGGNGGGGAGAAGATGATGGGTTACAGATCACCTTATATTGTTAATGCAGGATTAATATTGGCTAGGCACAACACTCAGATTGAAGAAACAAGAACAACATACAAAGTTTTGGGTACAGAAACATTTCCAACACAACCAATTGGGACAGTCAAGCTGAAAATGGAAAGATGGCAGAATATTAAACGGAATTTTGCATGAACAAGTGAACAAAATAGAACTGGCTCTGGAGTGGTTTAGTGGCATGCATTCATATATTGGATGTTGAAACTTCAAATTCAAATAACACAGAGAAAGAAAGTATGAGTGATATTACAATAAAATGTGGCATGTAGACCCATTGCTAGGCAATGACAACGTAACAAACAACTAGACAATGGCCATTACTAGGCAACACCTGTAAACATCAACAGAGGAACGATGTTTTTTGTGCGCTCTGTGCCAATATATTATAAGCAGGCAGTTAGTGAGTGAGTTAGAGAAGTGCTGAGGTTCAGTCATTGTGAGCTGTTGCTGTGTGAAGTGGGTAGCTGAAGCCAGGGATGGCTTGGGAACCCAGAGAAAGAGGAACATACGCCATTGGAAGCAACTACTCAGCAACAGCTGTTAAGACATGAGTGGGGACTCTAACGTGCAGGTGTCCATGTGCGTGTGTGTGTAATAGTGAACTGTAAGGTGTAGTCATGCACTGTATCCAAAGAGTCCAATAAATCTGATTATCAATCCAAAATCCACCCACAGTCACACTCATACGTGAGACAATAATCATTATGTGCGATTTCCATAATCTAATAACTCCTCACCAAGTTTGACATAGTCTTCTGGCTGCACACCAATCTGTTTGGCACGTTCAGTCTTAAAGGCAAGTGCTTGCTCCAAAGCAATAGGAAGTTTCACTTCCTTTACTTCAACTGGTGGCTCTACCTTCAGGGATAACAGTGATGGAAGCTTCCGATCAGAATGACTGTCATCATCAGAATCAACACCTGGAGGTCCCACTCCTGGCGGACCCACACTAAGAGGCTATGGAAAGAGACAATGTACAAAATTTTAAAAATTCAGTAATAATAAATTATCAAATCAACTGGCAAGAACCAAGGTCTGCATCAAATTATGCCTACACTGAAAGCCACAACAATTACACAGCAGGGTTCTAAGCAACTTGTTCAAACTATTTAATTTCTCATCATTCTAGAAGAGCGAGCCAGAAAATATCTGCAATATATTTATTAAAATTAACACATTAATAATATATATCTCGTAAGTCCAGCATTTCTGGACACAGTGTCTTTACTTTCTAGCATCCTAGGTCCAGCACTCCACAAGCTCATGTATGCCACTACAAAAACTGTTTTCTGATTTGTGGGCTAGAGACATTTCCACAGACTCTTTCAATTCATGGTCACTAGAAAATTATGGCCTCTTAAGGCATCTATGCAACAAGGTCAGAGCAGGGCCTGGAACACTGTGGGCAGCAGCACAAAGATGTTCACTGTCTTGCATTAACACAATTTTGATAGCTGTCCCTTGAATTCAATCTGAATCACCAGCTACTGCTTGTCATGCAGCATCTCACTGCAAAATGCACTGTTTATCATCACACTCCTTTCTTCACAATGATCAAGGACTGAGCCCTGCAAATCCCAGAACAGTGTAAGCATATATGTTGTTCCTCCCCAGTGTTGGTTCATGTTCTAATGTATTTCTGACAGGTATTATATGTGGTGCAACGAAAGTTCCAGAAATATATTAATAAAAACTATTATGTCTTATCTTATGCTTATTCTGCACCATCACCTTCAAAGTAGTCACCTTGGGAGCGCATACACCGATCCCAGCATTTCTGCCACTTTTGAAATGCATCCTGGAAGTCTTTCTTTGTTAGGGTGTTTAGTACTGTCTGCGTTTCCGCTTGAATTTCCACAACTGTATCAAATCTTCACCCTTTCAACTTCATTTTCATCTTGGGGAAGAGGAAAAAGTAGCATGGAGCTAAATCTGGCAAGTAAGGTGGGTGGGGAACAACTGCCATCTTGTTTATAGCCAAAAATTCCTGCATAATGTAAGCCGTATGCGGTCGTGCATTGTCATGGTGGAGTACCCAGTCATTTGTGCACCACTTCTCTGGAAGTTTTTTCCTCATGTCCTCCCTCAAACACTTTAGAACATTGCGATAGAACTCTTTATCAACTGTCTGACCAGGAGAGACGAACTCCTTATGAACAATCCCATCAATATAAAAAAAAAACAGATCAACATGGACTTAATGTTGCTCTTGACTTGTTGAGCTTTTTCTGGCAGACGTGAAGAAGGGCTCTTCCATTGCAACGATTGCTGCTTGCTTTCAGGGTCATAGCCATAAACCCAACTTTCGTCACCAGTGCCTACCTTCAAAAGAAACTTTGGATCCTCTTGAAGCTGTTGTTGAAGTTCCCTGCAGACTTCCGAAGGATGCTGCTTCTGTTCATTTTGCAGCAGTCGTGGCATAAACTTCGCCGCAATTCTCCTCATGTTCAGTTCCTCTGACAAAATTCATTGACCTAACTTAGTCCCAAGGTGTTACAGAGGTCTTGGATGGTCAGTCTACGATCTTGCAGAACCAGATCCTTAACTTTCACGACATTTTCTGGTGTGGTGCCAGTTGACGGCCGTCCCGAACGATTGTCATCATCAGTTGATGTTAGGCCTTTTTGAAATGCTTATACCAGTTGTAAGTTTGTGTCTGGCCTAAACTGTTGTCACCAAAAGCTTGCTTCAACATTTGGTACGTTTCTGCAGCAGTTTTCCCAAGTTTAAAACAAAACTTTATACAGACAAGATGCTCTCTCAGGTCAGCCATTGCAAAACAGCAAACTCATGGAAACACAACAATGGATATACATTCACCAACAATAAACCCAACCACCCAACTCGACGCCGTTTGCCACACTGATTCAAGAAGGTCGTGTGGGGACACACTTAGTAGTATTTTGACGTAATCATAACCATTCGTGCGCAAAATTAAAATTTCGGGAACTTTTGGATTGCACCACGTAGTACATTTTCTGATGTATGCTCTCTGGATCATAGTGGTGGGTCTACCTTTCATCACCAGTAACAACATGACTCAAAATCAGTCATCTTCCTTAATGTACCAGTTCAAAAGGTGGTTACAGGTGTCCAAATGGTTATCACTATGCTGTTTCATGAGTTGTTTTGGAATCCACCTTGCATACACTTCATTTAAATTAAATCTGTGGTGGATCATTTCATTGATAGCTGTCAAAGACAACTATCACTTAGTGAATTTTGACTAGTCCGACATTAATGAGATTTATTCACAATTTGGCCATAAATGCTTAAGCTATAAATCGTACTGAGAAACACTCTAAGTAATAAAGTGCATACTTCCATTCCTGGTGGAGGGGGCATAGCTATTGAAGGAGGTGGGCCCCTGATTTGAGGTGGAGCTGGAGTCAAAGCTGGAGCACTCAGTCCACCAACAGGTGGTCCTGATACATCAATTCCTGGAGGCATAACTACTGGTCCTGTTGTAGAAACTGTTGAAGGAGCAGATATTGGTGTTGGCAGAACTGTAGGAGCAGTACCTGGAGGAGGTGCTGCCATTCTCTGAAACAAAGAAACAACCTTATGCAGGATGACAAATGACAAATAATTACATACAAGTAGAGTCAAATGTATCCTTGCTGCAACTTACGGCATGAATACAGTCTAAATCCATTTATGACAAACATATCAGTAAACAACTGAATAAACTGAACTAACCTAAATACATGATATAGTTTTTATTTCATTTGACAGTTACTAAGCTGTCCAGGGCTTCTCTAGTTTTATGGTTTGTCACAATCTGTTAATGAACCCTACCCTTACTTACTTACTCATGAAGCTGAGCCCTTCTGGAGGAGCCACCAATTCAGCAGCTACTCAAGAATTTCCCAGCATTTTATAGAACCCGAAGGTTCATTACCATGTTCACAAGATCACTCCACTGGTCCCTATCCTGAGCCAGATCAATCCAATCCATACCATCCCATCCTGTCCCTCTAAGATCCATTCTAATATTGTCCACCCACCTACACCTTGGTCTTCCCTGTGATCTCTTTCCTTCTGGCTTTCCCACCAATATAATATACGCATTCTTGATCTCCCCCATTCGTGCTACATGCCCTGCCCACCTCATCCTCCTTGACTTCATCATTCTAATTATACTTGGAGAAGAGTACAAGTTATGAAGCTCCTCATTATGCAGTTTTCTCCAACCTCCTGTCACTTCATCTCTCTTTGGTCCAAATATTCTCCTCAGCACCCTGTTCTCAAACACCCTCAGTCTATCTTCCTCCCTTAATGTCAGCGAACAAGTTTCACATCCATACAGAACCACAGGCAAAATTATAGTTTTGCATATTCTAATTTTTATGGTTTTGGACAGCAGACAAGAAGACAAAAGGTTCTGGACTGAATGGTAGCAAGCATTACTTGAGTTCAATCTCCTCTTAATTTCCTCCTGAATCAGGTTTTGATCTGTTATCGTCATTCCCAAATATCTGGACTGTGCCAANCTCCCTTAATGTCAGCGAACAAGTTTCACATCCATACAGAACCACAGGCAAAATTATAGTTTTGCATATTCTAATTTTTATGGTTTTGGACAGCAGACAAGAAGACAAAAGGTTCTGGACTGAATGGTAGCAAGCATTACTTGAGTTCAATCTCCTCTTAATTTCCTCCTGAATCAGGTTTTGATTTGTTATCGTCATTCCCAAATATCTGGACTGTGCCACATTTTCAAACCATCTGTTTTCTATCATTATGTCACGATTTGGCCTGCATTTTGGTGGCAAGACAGCAACATATACTCAGTTTTCTCTATGTTTACTTCTAGACCAACCTCCTTACTAGGGTCAATTAAAGTTTGTGTGTTTCTCTTTATGGTATCTACATTATTGCCCATTAGATTCACATCATCGGCTTAGACCAACAGCTGATGTGTCCCATTTAATTTCAGTCCCACCTGGTTTTCCTGGACCTTCCTAATGGCATATTCTAAAGCAAAGTTGAAAAGAAGTGGTGATAAAGCATCTCCTTCTCTTAGACCATTCTGGATAGGAAATTGATCAGACAAATGTTTACCTACATGGACTTTACTGTACATTTCATTTAAACACATTTTAATCAGCTTAACTAGTTTCATGGGTATCCCAAACTCTATCAGAATATTGTACAATACTTCCCTTCTAACTGGATCATAGGCTTTCTTGAAGTCTACAAATAGTTGATGTAGTGTCTCACTGGGCTGAGCATTTTATTCAGAAGCTGATGTGAAAATCAAACCCCACACTGCTTTGTTTGTGTCAATATATCTAGACTTCTGATGCCTTAAACAGGAAGTGAAATCCAACTTGGAGAAGATAAGTTACACTATGTAAGATTTGAGGTTTTCACAGCGGTGACCATGAAGAAAGCAGTCTTCTGGGATCTGGCGCCATGTAGATGTGGTGTTAACCAACGTTTCGGANAGAGAGAGAGACGGTAAATCCAAAGATCCTACACCGAAAGAACCATGACACGGTTCAGTTTCAGAGAACCAATACCCATCATAATAGAAGAACTGTGGAGGAACCCAAATTTTCAGTTCTATCATCAGCACAGACTAGCTTGCCACTTCTATTATGTCATAAATTTTAATTTTTTTACAAACAGCTTTGAAATGGCCAACTCAAGGCCAGTTCTCAATGTATTTTTAGAGTAGCCACTGCTCCATCATTGGTATCTTGTTCTGTAAAGATGGGTGTTGCGTACATTCCATTATTTAAAGTCTACCTCCATAGCGTCATAAATAGTGTGACATGTCAACCTGTTGTTGGGTGATGGGATGTGAAATGAGTTACCACAAAGACAGACTTGACAGTCTGTTGCTAAGTTATGCAACAGTGGAATGAGGTTATGCAACCTGCTTCTAAGAGCCAGCTGGTAAACAAGACCCCATGCAGGCACGATGACACCATAGCGCAGTAGTGAGTATGAGTCACATGACCTCTGCATTTCTGCAAGTGACGTCACACCCCCCTCACCAAGCCCGTTGCTANGTCAGTATTTGGGAGTATTTGAGAGTGGAACCAGCAATACAGAAGGTTGCCCTGTGAGGACGTTAAGTGTGATTTAGAAGACTTTATGTGTGAGACGGAGCAGTGATACTGGAAGTGCAATTGGAAGATCTTAGGTGTAACATCTGGAGTGATTTAAAGTGGCAGTTTCTGCGTGGAGATCTGTTGCTAGGAGACGGCTAGTGGAAGACAGAACCCTAGTGGGTGTGCAACGGTGAACTGGAATGTGTGTAAATCAGCAAGAGCACTGTATTTAAGCATAATTACGAGAGAGTGTGTAACCAAGTGGTTAATAAACCCAATTTCCAATCTGAACGGCATCTTCAATAGCCAAACACGTTACAATACTTAACCTTTAAGAGCTGAAAGACACCATATGGGGACCTTTAAATTATAGCCGAGTCGCCGTGTGACACCGTATGGGTACCTATTAAATCAGGCTTTATTAAATGCAAGCATAACACTATAAAATTGTTATATGCATTTTACCTGCCGCATCATATCTTCTTCCCTCTGCTTCTCCATGAGGGCTTCTTGCTGTAAGCGAAACAATTCTTCTTCTTGACGACGCTGCAACATTTGCCGTTCTTGTTCTTCACGCTGCTTTTCCACCAATGCCGTCTGTACACAAAATCAGAGGTTTTAATATGACAGTCTTGCCATAAATGGAAGAGAAAATTTGACAACCATTTCATCGTTAAGTATATCTTCTCAAAATAAGCAATTACAGTAACCCTTCTGTCTCATAAGATTGGATGCACACTATATTTATATTCTTGGGGCAAGAAAATTAAAAGGTATCAAGCTGGAGAAGCCATGCTGTTCACACTAAGTACTTGTACATATAACCCAATCAGTCAGTTACGGTCCATAACATTCATGTCAAAAACCAAAATGGAACACACATATAGCTCACAGAATGGAATCAGGCCCCTTGGATCCAAAAATAATAAACAAAGTTGTCCCTGTGATTCATTAAGCACAAAGATATGAAGGTATATGGAGGAGTGGAGTTCTGGTTCCACCATTCTTGATCTCTGCACTAGATGGAGGTCAGTGGTCAGCTACATGCCCTCGCTCCTTTACCCCTGGAAAAACAACCACTGGTACACAATGGATAGGAGAATGGCTAGGCCCTAGAGCCATTCTAGATGCTGTGGAGTAGAGAAAAATCTCTTGCTCCCACTGGGAATAGAACCCCAGCTGTGCAGTCCATAGCCTGCTGCTACTTTGGGCTATCCCAACAACCACTATTTTCACCTATAAAATTGAACATGACACTAACGAAATAATGGTTTGGGGATAATACTCCATTTCAAGGCCTGTTTATTTGTTAAACAAACACAGTTTACAATTTTAACTGGTTTGAAATTCTATGCAACTAATTTTTATGAGTCAGAAAATGGTGCTTCTTTTGTCTAACCTGTTGAAGCCGTAATAGCTCTTCTTGTCTTTGCTGCTCAATCATAAGCTGCTGCTGGTGGATTCTTTGTTGCATCTGTAGATAAGACAATTACAATAATAAAACTGCACTTCACAAATAATTCTTCTGGATATGGCTCCCTAAATCTTATGTGGAAGTATGAGAATATGTATGGCACATGTTTATCTTTACACAGTGAGATTATCTTAGAGCCCATCATAAACAATCTGGCTGCTAAGGTGAAAGAGTTAACTCACATCAGTTCAGCCCACATACTTCTATACTTGGCTTTGTGGCACTGTCAACAAATAACACCCTTTACACCAGCAATTTTCAACCAGTGCGCCATGGCACTAAAATCCATGAACATATTTTTTTAAAAATAACAATTTGGAAATTTTAACTACTGAACTCTTAAACACAATCTTATATACACATTCTCGTATAGTACTTATGTTAAACCATCACCACAGCAAATGTACACAAGCTTTTAATATTTACAATTAA